CCCGCATGCCGACGTCGTCGACGCCGTCCGCCGCACGGCCGACCTGTGCGAATCCCTCGGCCACCATGTGCAGGCCGCGACGTGGCCGGTCGATGGCGACGCCGTGCTCGCCGCGTTCGAGGACCTGTGGAGCCACCTGAGCGCCGACTGCGTCGATGCGGTGCGCCCGTCCATCGGCGGCAACCGGCTCGAGGACTACCTGGAGCCCTGGACGCTGGCCCTCGCCGAACGCGCCAACGGCCTGCCCACGTCGTCGCTGGAGCACATCTACCGCCAGTTCGCCAACCTGCCCCGCCAGTTGAACGGCTTCTTCCAGCAGTTCGACGTGCTGCTGTCCCCCGTGCTCGGCGCGCCGCCGCCGCTGCTCGGCCGCTACGGGCCGAGCGTGCCGGCCGCCACGCTGCTGACCGACATGTTCGAGTGGATCGCCTACACGCCGCTGCACAACGTGGCCGGCATTCCCGCCATCTCGCTGCCGCTGTTCCATAGCCGCGAGGGCCTGCCCATCGGCAGCATGTTCTCGGCCGACCGGCACCAGGAAGACCGCCTGCTCGCCCTCGCCTACGAACTCGAAGCCGCCTGCCCCTGGGCCGGCCGCTGGCCCGCGCTCAACGCGGTGGGCGCCCTCGCCCACGCCTCACCCTCACCTGCCTCCGCCCCATGACCGACCTCTTCCGAGCGCTCAGCCCCGACGACCTCGTCGACCTTGTCCACCAGCAGCCGCTGGCCTGGATCGTCTCCGGCGCCGCCGGCGCGCTGAACGCCACGCCGCTGCCGGTGCAGCTGACTTGCGATGCCGACGGCCGGCCGGCCAGGATCCTGGGCCACTTCGCGCGGCGCAACCCACACCTCGCCGCGCTGGCGAGCGACCCGCGCGCCACCGTGCTGCTGATCGGCCCGCAGGGCTACATCTCGCCGTCATGGTTCGCCGACCGCTCGCAGGCGCCGACGTGGAACTACGGCATCGCCGTCTTCAACGTCGACGTGAAGCTGCTGGACACGCCGGCCGATGCACGCCGCCTGCTCGAAGGCCTCGTCGACCAGGTCGAACAGGACCGCCCCGGCCGCTGGCACGTCGACGAGATGGGCGCGCGCTACGAGAAGCTCTCGGCCAACATCGTCGGCTTCGAGGCCGACATCCTCGACGTGCGCGCCAAGTTCAAGCTGGGCCAGGACGAACGCGACGACGTCTTCGCCGACATCCTGCGCGGGCTGGACATCCTGGACGAGGCCGACCTCGCCGGCTGGATGCGACGCTTCGCCAAGGCACGCC